CAGCAGGAAATATTGCCCTTCCAGGCTGACAATGCTGGATTGCTCATAATTTTCATCAGAAACCAGTCAGTTTCAAGAACTGAAAGCGGGCTCTGTGTTCCTGCTTACGATGAAGTCATTTGTGCTGCAGATCTTCTTGTCTTGCTCTTGAAACAATAATGGTACAAATAAGAGAGCGTGAGGCAAAGACAACATGAGCGTGTGAAAGTGCCAGTCATTCTCTTGGTAAATACCAAGTAATTATTGTGGTATTGGGTAAAACAGCCTGTGAAAATTGGCTCTTAATTGCATTTGAAAGTCTATGTCAATATGAAGCACTTTGTTGTTGTGTGCAGGATGACACTTGAAAATGGCAAAAGATGAAAGAAAATTTCAGTTCAGAGCTCTGGTGGACATGAACATCAGCTCTTGCTGATATTTCTTCCGCCTCTTGAGCATGCTTGCCATGGCAACCTTTGTTTGCTTGCGGTAAAAGGAAAGGTATCATCATCCTTCACCAAATGCAGAATAAAGCATTCAAGAGGAGAAAAAAACAGCTTTTAAAAATAAGCGAGAAAGCAACTTTCTTCCTGAAGCTTGTATCCTGCTGTTCATTCTAGATAAACTGCTGAAAAGTGTACCTACTTTGAATTTTAAAGAGTTCTTGCTCTGCAAAGAAAAATTATTTTAAGGGTGAAACAAAATGAGATTCAGCCTATCTTTGGCCTGGCAAGGAACACTGATGATTTATCTTTCTTGTAAGTTAGCCAAGTAGTTCAAGAACCAAGTTGTTTTTCCTCAAAAATATTTAGCACAAGATTGATGCCAGGTGAATAGAGCTGTAACAATCCATGTTCTGTAAACACTGTATGCTTCAGTATAAAAAAGGTGACTTACGGAAACCGAGGCAAGGTGAAAAAGCCTATGTCTATCATGAGACATCCAAAAACTTTACCAAGCTGCTGGATTCAGGTGCCTTTAGGCTATGTCCCAGCTGTATATCAGGAGGCAAGATTCAGCAGGGCAACACACCCTTTCCTTTTCATCCTTCTATGTAAAGAAATTCATACAAGAACTGTTGTATACACTGACTAAACACCAGCATGGATGAGCAGCCAGGATGCCAGGGCATCTTGTGGCACTCCTCAGAAGGCTGAGGCTATTCTTGAGCCTAAGTGATTTGCCTGCCCACCCAGGTAGTCTCCAGAATAGTGGGGGCTTAAATTTCCAGATCTCAAATTAATGCCTGAACCTTTGGAATTTCCTACAGCCATTTTCTTTTATACATTTGTGTGCATTTCTTTAATGTGGATATTCCTTACATGCCCTGGAAAGACAATAGCGATTTTACAGGGCCTTATCATTACCAAATGTATCTTATTACAAGTAATAGTGTTATTGCCCACACACTAAATGCATGTGTGCTAGAGCTAACTTTATTGTGAAGAACCCAGGTTTAGAAAGATTACTTCCAGTGACATGCTTGATGTGAGTTCTTGCACGCAGGCTTTGTGTTGCCCAACTTCATTATGGGGACAGACAGCTTACCTGAAACACTGTATGAACATCACAGTAAGGTGCAGTGGTTTGCATAAATGGAAAGTATTCTCACCTGCTGAATTTCTGGAAATGGTATTTCAGACAACATTGTCTGATAGTATGCTTAGACTATTAGATTATATACTGCTTGTAAAAAAAAAAAAAATCAGGAAAGAAACCAGTTTATCAGAAAATAAGTGATGTTCTTGGCTGAAACATTCTTTGGATTTGCTGGACATCCAGGACCAGAGTCGTCATATTCTAGCTCACAGGGCTGTTGGGAGCACAGGTATTTTTTTTCCACTGTTACTTAGATATTGTGCTGAGCATGGCAGAAATAGTTTTGATAACAGAGACATGATGACAAAGTTTCTTATCAGGAAAATTAAATTCTGTTGAGATGTTGCCATGTATATAAAGTGGTTTTGTCTTATATAAATAACTCAGCTAACTTCAGTATTAAGAGAAAGACTGAGCTCATTGGGATCATTCTTATGTACGAAATTGTAAGATCAGGCACACCTCCAGGGAAGAAATAAAACTTTCCAAACATTTAAACATTTGTTGTAATTATTAAGTATACACAAGTCTTCAACAGAGGAAGCATAGAATTTTGTACAGGATAAGAAACATCACCCCAAAATTAGCTTGTTGTCACTGGGGATATTTCTGAAATATACTTATAAATACAAGCAACTGTATTCATTGCACTGTCATGTACTTGGCAGAGGAAGATTCACATGACAGTCGTTCAACATTGAAAGTACCTAAAAACAAAATCTTGTATATGGACATCCAAACCCACTGAAATTTATGAACATGTTTACAAACTGTTACTTGTAGTTTAAAGGAGCAGTTTAGAGCATGTTTCATCTGCCTGTTCTAGAGGAAAACCATTAAGAAAAATTGTGGGATCTTGTATTCTCTTGTGAAGTTTACAGATCAATTGATACAAAAATTCCTCTCTTTGTTGCTGCAGAGTATGCAATACACAATTTATACTCGTGGTTTGGGAGTCGAAACGCAATTTAGAAATAGTGTGTGACTGTTCGTTACATCTGTGTGGTTTCGATGAAGAAAACATGCATAACTAATACTTTGAAATGCAGTTAGCTGTATTGAATCACAAGTTTTTTGCTTTTTCAGTGTTTTTTCTCCTTTAGTATATTGCTTGATAAAAATAGGATGAACAGCCAGATTCTAGTGGAAGTTAAATTTACAGAAATCCAGCGTAGCAGAATTCAACAACTACTCTGCCATTGTCACTGGTGAACAAATGATTGGTGCCTGGTTGGAGAGCCTTTTGACATAGATTTAAGTCTGTGAGTCCAGCTTTCTAGTACTGAATTCAAGGCTGGTGCCTAAACTGAACAATTGGTAGAGATTAAAGAGAGCAGACAGAGGCATCGGGAAGGAGGAGACCAAGATCAAATGGAGATTCCTTCCTTGCTGTCACACATATTCTTAAAAAGCATGAGATCGTGCAGTTTCTCTTATGCAGTTTTTGTTAACCACTTTGCAGATTCATGCAGAAGAAAATGTTGCTTTTCTTCTTCCTGAATGTCTTCCTTTTGAACCTTCCTTGAATTTGTCCCATAGGGAAGTGCAAGTGAGGCCACCCTGATTTCATTGCTTGCTGCAAGAACAAAAACTATCAGACGAGTGCAGTCAGAAAAGCCTGAGCTAACAGAAGCAGACATCATGGGCAGGCTGGTGGCCTATGCTTCTGATCAGGTCAGTACCTCTCAAAACCATGGAAACATGTGGTCTGTACTTAACAATTCAGTCATCTCAATAGGCAGGTGAATTAAGTATAAACTCTTTGGACTGGTGACTATATGGTTTTGTGTGTCCGTGTGTGCACACATGGTTTTCCTCCTATATACACATGTGCGAACATACACACATACATCCTCCCCCTGTACACATGCAGAGTTGCAGATTGTCCTGGGTTCAGCTACAGCAGTCATTTTTTCTCCTTCTTAGTAGCTGGTGCAGTGCTGTGTTTTTGACTTTCAGTCTGGGAACAATGCTGATAACACCGATGTTTTTAGTTGTTGCTAAGTAATGTTTACTCTGACCAAGGACTTTCTCAGTCTCATGCTTTGCCAGAGAGGAGGGGAAGCCAGGAGGAAGCAGAGGCAGGACACCTGACCCAAACTGGCCAAAGGGGTATTCCATACCACAGCACGTCATGCCCAGTATAGAAACTGGGGGGAGTTACCCGGAAGGCCCAGATTGCTGCTCGGGTCGGGCTGGGTATCGGTCGGCGGGTGGTGAGCGGGTGTGTCCTTTTCCCTTGTTATTCCTCTTATCATTATTACTGGTAGCAGTAGTGGTTTGTATTATACCTTAGTTACTGGAGAGCTGTTATCTCAACTCGTGGGAGTTACATTCCTTCGATTCTCCTCCCCATCCCTCCGGGAGTGGGGGGAGGAAGGAAAAGGGGGGGGAGTGAGCGAGCGGCTGCGTGGTTCCAAGTTGCCGGCTGGGCTTGAACCACGACACAGATGTATGTGCGCACAGAAAACCTAGTTCATGAAGTAAATTGGTTATAGTACTCCAAGAAACCCGAAACATTATATCCTTTTTTTCTTTTTCTTTTTTTTTTTTTTTTTTAAGAAAAGAAAAACTCTGCTAAGATCTCCATGTATAAATCCAGCTAAGAAATCTTGTAAGAAAACAGAAAACATAATCCTTGATTTCTGACTGTGAGTGGTATTTAGCAGACTGAGTTAGGCTAAATTCTCAGCAGGCCAGGACCATGAGAGGCTTTTACTGTTAATGAAACCAAATTTTAATCTTGTGAGTTCTGCTGCTCCTACCCTTCTGAAACACTAATCCTACTGAAGGGCCAAGCAATGTTGTTTCTCTCAATAGCTGTGACATTTTCATATCTAAATGTCAATGAGATAGAAGAAACTTAGCACTTGATGTTTAGTTTAAAATCATAGGTGATTATGCAGAATAAAATGGCCACTTGTAGAATAAGAAGAGTCAGAACAAGAAAATACAAGGAAAGATAACTGTTTTTCAAAGGCACAAATGTATTTGTATTTTTTTTATTATTTTTTTTTTGTCTGGGACCCTAAGGCCTGTACTGTGCAGACCACCAGTCCCAGAGCTCAAACTCTGACTCAGTGATGCACAAAACCTTTTACTTGATTTTGGTTTTTGTCCCATGTAAGTGGCTGACCTGAAATAAGGTCTGACAGGCCTTACTACTTACTGAAGGTCAGAGGATCTTATGTTTACAGAAGGATTTGCCTTAAGATATTGCTGACCTTTCAAAGCAGATTGTTGCAGAGCTCACAGGTCCTTCTGCATTAAGAACAGACCTGTGTGACTCACAGGCAATAATCCACAGAAGAAAGTAAACCTAAGCCATTCTGTGGGAGAGAAAGCCATGCACTGACAGAGTGTGATACTGCAAGAAAGCATTAGGAGGGATGTAAAAAGGTGGCTAGTAAGGAGGCCCAGAGCAGAAAGCTAAATTCAGATCTTATATATCTCACTAGGCATTTTTGGAAAATCTTTATCCCATTGAAATAATTTTGCTTTGTGTTAATGAGTACAGAGCAGGACTGGCAACAAGGCTTTCCCCAGTAACTACTTTGGGGGCTGGAGACAACAGAAGAGAATTCTCTTCTAGGGCTATCCTGGGCTATCTCTGCCTGGGCTATACTGGCTGACGTTCCTCTTGCAAGGGACACTGAAACCTTGGGATCTCAGAGGAGTATCTAGCTACCCCTATTACCATTTTGGAAAGTTGAGGAAGTAACTCAGATATTCTGACTGGCTGACAGCCTCAGTGTATTGTTATAGTTTGCTTATTTGCAATTCGTGTATAAATCAGTTATAAAATAGCTCTTTCCATTGTACACTTGACCCAAGTATGGTATTGCTATGGTACATACAATTTTTTCCACCTCAAAATTTATATTTCGAGTCTAGACTTCCACGTTTTCTCAAGTTGTTGCCTGATTAGTTTACCAAAGTACTTTGACAAGAGGCACTGCTGAGATGTAAGCTGATAGTAAATCTGCTTTGTCATTCCTGGGGAATATGAAGTCGAAAGCCAAAAACTTGTATGTTCATCTGATCTTGTTCAACCTGTGCTTATCTTAATCTTTTCTGTGATTATATGCTAAATTAGAATAGAATTAGTCAGTGCTTTTCTAGGCATTAGCAAGAACTAACAAGAGTAGGAAGCAGATTAGGAATGAGAATAGTCACAATATGAAAAGGTGAGGAATTATTCAAATTAATGACAATTAGTGAAATTGTAGAAGATGGAAGGTAAAACAGCTTTATTGGGGGGTTAGTCATGCTCTAAAGGAGAATATTTTGTGGCTAAAGCTATTATTTTACTTTACAAATTTATAAGATTTTTTTAGTGATACCTTTGATTTTATTTACTAAGATGTGCTTTATGTTCTAGAAATACTATTTATGGACAATTCAGGTCAAGTGGGTTATAAATAAAATAAAGTATTGGGAATGATCCTTAATTGCCTATCAAAATGAATGAACGATTGAACCATGACTTAGTCAGTGTGTAATCTGAAAATAAAAAGATAACCACGTAAGAAAATATCTCAGCCTGTACATACTTTAACAAGGAGTTAACTTTTTAGAGTTCAGCAAAGCTGTATGCCATAAAAATATGATAGTAAGCAACTGAATCATTATAAGGCAAGCTGATTATTTGCATGTCTTTTGGTTGATTTAGAGCCAAATCCCGAAGCTCTTAATCACTCCTACCTAACTGTGAACATGTTAATTAAAACTCTCTCTAAGGTTAATTGAACTCTTGTCTGAATGATGCCATGGCAATAGTCTCAAGAATACTTCAAGGTTTCCATTAGTGCATTTTGTGTGTGTGTATGTATATATATGTATGTGTGTCCATATGTCTGTCGGTCTGTATGAAAGAGGGAGAGGTATGTGTCTGTTACATACCAGCAATAGTCCCAGGATCTCAAGTACTGCTTTACTTGAAAGAAATTATTATTTTGTTTTTAAAGTCAAATTAACTTCTTACATTCCAATAAAAAGTACCTATCTTAAAATTTGCCCATTTCCTTGTAGGCTCATTCATCAGTGGAAAGGGCTGCACTAATTGGTGGTGTGAAGATTAAAAATGTTTCTTCAGATGATACATTCAGTGTTTGTGGTTCAGCCCTAAAGAAAGTTTTGGATGAAGACAAAGCTTCTGGTCTTATCCCATTCTTTGTGAGTACTGGATTTAATTAATCAGTGGATTTATTGCTTCTGATAAGCTATTTTTGACAAGGGTAGATGACCTCATCCCTAACAGAGAGATCAATAGACACCCTAGCTAGAATACTAGGACAGGTTCCATGAGTGTTTTACACGCACCTTTTTGTGTAGGAAGAACAACTAATTTGAGCAACTGGTTTTACTTCTCAGCAAAAAGGATGTTTTAAAAGGACTTGAAGATATATTAGACAGCTGAATAAGTGCAGGCGAATTTTTGCAGTTGCAGTGTTATAATCTCCTAACACTTGAATTCTGAACTGCCATTTTTAAAAGGTTATACCTTTATTTTTCAGGTTCTAACTTACCCATAGATAAGTTTAAAAGCAAGAAATTAAATGATGGTATCTCACACTTGAATATTTTCAAGAAACAGTAGTTTCCCCTCCTCACTACTGTAGCAAAGAAATGAACCTCCATAATATACCCAGGTATCATCAAGATCAGACATTGTCAGGCAGATATTTGTGAACACGTAATTTACCTCTAAATGTGGAAGCTGTAGGTGTTATCATTTCTTGTTATTTGTCCACTTTAGAGATTTCTGCGTACACAGCAGTCTAGCAAAAGCAAATGTGTTTATATCTCAGTAGCTAAAGCTCATAATCCCCCATTTTTGACATAAAACAGTGTTAGATTGGATAAAATTCTAAAGTTTGGTTCTACTATGATAAGTAACTGATCAAAAAGAATATTTACTTACTCATCAGTTCTACTCTTCCTGTCAGTTCAGAACACCATCTTATTATTTCAAGTTAAAACGAGATTTTGCCTTTTGGTTTTGGTTTTTTTTTTTTTTTTCTTTTTCTTTTCTATGGAGTAAGTAATATTTGTACATCATCAACAAAATGATTTGCTCATTTCTAAGCATATGGGCTGTATAAGGAGTGTAATATGCTACCAAGAATATGTTTTTACTGGCCTCTACTGAAGGAAAATTTGAGAAAAAAACTACCCCTATTTTAGAAACACAGAACTTTAAAAATGGGTATTTTTTAAGAGAGCCAAAGATATGTCACGATTTTTTCAGAAAAAGTCATGTCTGACTTGACAGTTGTTTCTTTAATTTCATGTGGTAACATTTTGAAAAGGGAGAAAGTGACTTAAATTTCTATGAACTTTTCTCAGAAGAATTAGCAGATTAAGCTTGCTTATAGTCATGGATAAGTGCCAAGTGGGACAAAGAAGCTTAAATTTCACCAAGCTCTTTTGAAAATGTAATCTTTTTACTCTTCTCGTTATTAACCTTTAGTGTCTGTTCTTATGTAGGATAGTGATGACTAGGCTGAAAAGTGGTTTTTGATACGTGCAGAATGCTGTTAATTTCTAGTCTGACTAAACTAGAGAAACTAGGATGACCAAGCACTTCCCATCGATTGCTTTCCAATATAATAAGTTTATGACAGAAACAAAGCATTTCTAGATGTTCCAAAGTGAAATTTCTTCTGTGGGCTGCACCTATTGAAGTGGGGATGTGCCATAAGGTATGGTTTATTTCTTTGTTACATGGTACCAGCTCATAATATCTTACACAGGATCCTACTTGTTTATGCAATATATCACATCTCCATACACTAACTACAAAGTTAATGTGTTTTTTCCTCATCTCTTGTCCATTAGAAAACAAAAAAGTATCTTGCCTCTCATAAATATTTATTTCTTATTAATTTTTTTATGTGTAGCAAGAGGAAATAAAAATTCTCTTTATGTATTCAGTGACATCTTTACAAAGGATGATTTACGTGGTGTTGTTCTTCCTCTGTTTGCTTAGCTGTGCAAAACAGGCTTTCAAAGACAGCAGAGGCTGGTCTGAGTTAATATGGTCTGTACCAGGTCTTCCATTTATTTGTATACATAAACCATGTCATCTTAGATTAAACTAGATCTCATTATCCTTATGGATGGCCTCTTAACTCAAAAGGTGTGTTAATTCTCTGTCATGCTGAGCAACAGTCCATGCACTATGTTAGTGCTCCGTTTTCTGGCTTGCAGATTTCAAAAGCCTTTCCATTTCTTTTGTTCTTGAATATTTTGGTGCTATTTTATTTTGTTCTGGTGCCAAAGATATGCACATTGCCAAGGAAACACCTCATGCCATGCTATTCCTTGTCTCCCTGTATTCACTGATCCTTCACTAACCGGGTGTGATTCAACATCAAAGCAAAAGGTTTAACAGAAGAAATTCTGCCTAAAGAGACTTTTGGCAGCAGAGAGATCATTCCTAATGAAGACATCTTGGCTGCATCCAAGCTGATGCAGTCTTCCTTGTAAGGGGAGAAAAAAAGGTTTGTAGGGGATTAAAAAGAACATGCAAGCAAATTACAGTGCCTTATAGGCATGATTCTCCTCTTGTATTTAAGGAACAAATGAGGAGCTATTATCCTGAACTTGATAGAAGTGCTTTGCTTGTAGAGGTGAGTGGAGAATAAGGGGCGAATTAGTTTGATGTGAAACAGGTTCTCTCATTACAGCCATGTGGTAATTATAGGTTTGCTTTTCACATACATAGGGTTTGGCAGTCAGTCTTTTTTTGGGGATGGGCATTGTCATTAAAATGAGTCTTTGAATTCCTGTTCACCATCACTTATCTTTTAGCACTAGTAATGTGTATAAAATCTTGTTCATTGAACGCTATTGCCAATTAGTGTACCCAGACCTCTACTTTTGCTTCCTTTTTTTAATTTTTAAATTCAGATGTGTGTTAATTTTGTCTCTTTCAAGGTACTTCTGCAGAAATTGAAACAGATATATTTTTATATAGCAAATCAAGCAGACTGTGCAAACAAAGCACTTAACTGTGTCAGATGTTAAGGCACTAAAGTTGCCACAATTCACTGAGGAGCAATTTCCAAGGGTGGCTGATATGCAGCCCTTCATCTGGCCACCAGATAAAAGGGAGCTTTAAAGCATGTGCTAAGGTCATGTCCATTTCAATAACTACAGACATTAAGTGGTGGTTAAGCACAGGCATAAATGCCTTTCTCAGCTGGACCCTATATGCTCCCAGCTTGAGACAGGCCTCTACTTTGGATGAATGTTGACCGGGATGTTATATGTGGAGACCACCAAGTAAAGCACTGCTAAATTCAGGTGTAGAGTCCACTGCATCCAAGCCTAGTTTACTTCAGTATATCTAAGTGACCTCTGAGCTTTATGCTGTCTTTCATAAGTCAGCACTGATGATACATTGCAGCTGGCATATATATAGTACAATATACTTCAACAATTTCTTCCAGTATAAAGCTGCTATAATATAATTGCCTTGCTGCTGAACAAAGGCCCAGCATGAAATCTCTCTGATACCAGCTGAAATGACTCTTCTGAATGATGATCTGCAGGATATTATGAAGCAGGCTGTTTCTATCAGGACTCACTTGGGAAACAATAAATCAGAATTAGACTGACGGAGGAGCCATCTTTTCAGTAAAGTTAACACTAAGATCCTGACCACAGATTCACATTTGGAAGAAGCATTCTTGAGATGAGTACAGGCATCCAGGGTGATGTTTCTTAATCCACAGTTTGTGAACGATCACTGTTTTGTAAAGTACTGAGTGGTTTAGTAAACTGTTGCAGTTTTCTACAAGCCACAGACATTCTCATGAGTGCAAGATGGCAAACAACTGAGTAGGAGAAAATAAAAACAGTAAGACAACATTGAAGGTTCTGCCTCATTATAGTTAATTGCAAATGAAAAGCTTAGTGGTGAAACTGTGCAAGATGTGTCCAGATATTTTTCAAAAGCTGCAGGAAGTCTTCCAGTTGAAAAGATTGAGAGTCATTGCTCTCAGGCATCATAAAGATTCATGCACATTTACTGACATAGCTCTTGATTTCAGGAAAGTAATACATGAGGTGACTGATGTGAGCATTTTAGCTGTTTTATATTAGCAGCCAGGGTTGAGTCAAATTTGAAGTGCGCAACCTGAAAAGGATAAGGCCTGCAGGCTATACTGAGCCATCAGTCCCATTTCTGTGTTGCAGCCTGTCCCCCACCCTTTACACAAATGTGATTTTGCCAGTGTTATACAGGTTACAAATTGAGTTAGATTTGTTGTGTAGAAGTGAGACAGGGTAATGAGAGTTCTGACAAAAGCAGATGCTGTCACTTGAAGTGGTTTCTGAGAATTAAATCAAGTAGCTTTGAGGCTTAGACTCCTGCAGAGAGGACAACAAAATTATTTTAGAAACTGAGGTATGCTTTACAGAATTAGCCATTTTTTAAATGACTAAACATATGTTTGAACTCATAAAATCTCTTACTGAAGCAACATACTCATCCTGATTAGAAGGAGAATACTTCGATAGCGTTGTAGTGCAGTACAAGGCTAATAACAATAATGTGTAACTTTCTGTTATAAAATCTCTGTCATTATTTTAGTTGCTGGACTAGCCAAAGTAATTTGACTCTAATCTTGTCAGAAAGTCTACAACATATTATCATAAAATATATGTATAAAAGTAGACCTAAGTCTATAGTCCACTCTTCATTAGGATTAACCCCTATTCTTTATGTATATAGAAATCCCAGAATTTTCTTCATGGCATCCTCCATTTCTTGTGACCCAGTTTGTAGATCTGTAGTTCAGACAAAGATGAAATGCAAGTTTCTCCTGATTGTGGGAACATCCTAGGTAGACAATAAGTAATAAATATATTGTGACTCCACACATGCATGCCGCCTTAGTAAAAGAAGAGAGCAAACTTACTTCCTTTTTGAAAAATATCCTGCAATCTTTTAAAAGCAAAGGATGATTAAACTTCCAGAGAAGTCATGAACATACCTCCAGGCACTGTAATTATTCTGTTCTCATGTGTCTCAGGAATATGGGAAGGCCCAGCATAAAGATTAGATTATTCTGAGGGGAAAATGCGTTAGCAGCAAAATGTTCAGCTCATTTGCAGAACTATATTTGTTTCAAACTCAGGTTCTTAGTAGCTTGATTTGGAAAAAAAAAAAGCCTGAATTTTCCCTTTCTTATTTTTTGAAATTATTATTTTTAATAATTATTTACTATTATAAATACATAATATTATTTATCATTATAAAATTATAATAATATTCTGCCCATAGCCAATATTTTAATTGGTGCAATGAAACATGATGATAGTTATAAATATTGCTGCAATTGTGAGGTTGGGGGAATATAGTCACTGTCAGGGACAAAATGTTTTCAGGTTTTTATCTGACTACGTTTAATCAGGTCTCCCCTATACAGGATATGACTTCCTTTAACAGTGTGCATGAATTCATATGCATAGAGTGCTGTCTGAGTACTTTCCATTAAACAGAAAAATCAGCTCCCTACAACAATTTAAAATATCTCTGAGGTATACAGTATGATACAGATGCAGAAATGTTCAAAAGTGTAGGGGATTTACCTCTCTAGCAACAGATTATTGAATTAGATCAATATTCTTGGGACGTATAATTTTAAATTTCTGGCTTTTTGAATACATATCCACCTGCTCTTTTTACTGAATGTTTATGTTAGTGTGGGATATCCTAGAAATTTTGAAAAATCCAGTTTAATAAGTAGTGAGACCGCTGTCTTGCACCAGTTCTCTAAAAACCTGGAGCTAGCAAATGAAAATCCTATCGCATTTATCCAACTCTTTGTCTCATAATCAGATTATTTTTTCCAACATGCCAGACCTTTCTACTGTGCTGTTGCTGCATTATTTCGTAGAATGAAAAGACGAAAAAAAAGCGTGATGGGAAATGTGAAAAGCAAAAAAAACACTTGTAAAAACTTCACAAGAAGTTATTGAGAGGACTAGTTAGGGAACCCCCAGAAGGAAAACCAACTCTTAGTTCTGAGATGTGTACAGGGCATGCTTCAAGATGTGACTGCAGATGATTTGTAACAGTCTCCAATATCCAATAGCTGGTAGAAATGAGAAGGCAATAAAATCTCTAGCTTGAAAGCAGGTGACAACTTATGAATGAGGATGAGTGTTCAAGGGAACAAATAAAGGGTAAAATATTGGTAGCTATCAAGCATTCTGTTTAATTAGAGCAGATATACTTAGTGAAAATGTGTATCACCTTTTAAAAAAGAGGGAAAAAAGACCCTCCCTAAAAAGCTGTTGTTGTTTGAATATGGGAACCCCTAGAATTAAAGAGATATCACTGAAATGCAGGAGAGACAGCATGTGAATGTCCAAGTCAGATGAACAGGAAAAAAGCATACACTTTGCATGCGAAACATGGTATTAGGCTAAAACAGATGATAGGATTTAGGCAAACAATTTGCTACTGTCATAACAGCATGAAATTAATTTTCTCAGAAGTAGAAAGTTTGTGCTAGAGGGAGAGTAAAAGCTGAAGCAGATAAAGCCACATCAGGTAACACAAACATGAGCTAAATCCTTTACTAGAGAAGTGCTGACTCACATCATGGTGACTGTAACAGACAGGCCAAAAGTCCACCCTGTCCCCAGCTGAACCTCTCAGCTGGTCATTGGCATCACATCCCCATTCTGCAGCAGCTCCACAACTATGTAGCAATGACAGCTAGTATAGCAGTCCTGGACAAGCTAAACAGATGCTTAGAAATAGGAGATTACTTGGCATGTTGGATGAGCAGAGAAGGAACCACTGGAAACTTTCCATGATGGGTATCACGGGAGGTATCACTGCCCTCCTACAAGTGGACCCAGAGGCCCTGCATATGTACTCAGTCTGGAGCTGTGACACAAAACTGCACTGGATAGAGTTTTAATGCATAATTGTACCTGTGTTTTGCTATGACAGTATGGTTTTTTTCTTGAAAGGTCTCGTGGATGGACAGGTATCAGCTTAGGTGTTCCTTTGTCTTCTTACAGGTCTTGTCATGAGTTCACTGAGGGATGTGGACACACACACCAGAAAAAAATGTGGCT